TTTTCAAATCTGACATTCAATTTGTAGTTCTGATAGTTGTTCAGTCATATATAAGTTAATTTTAAAATTTATTAATATGGAAAAGACTTTTACTTGTAATAATTGTGGAGAAGAAAAACCAATAGAGGAATTAGCTAGCACAGTTCCAGTTTACAATTCTGATCCAATTAAAACTTGTCGCAAATGTTATGATCTTTATCATAATCCCCCAAAAGAAAAAAAGAAAGAAAGACAATTTTTTTGTGCTTTTTGCCGATTTGAAGTAATTAGCGTTCACTATCGAATAAGAGTGGATGTTTCGGAACCGAATGAATTAGGTTTAAAAAAAGGAGAAACTTATGATTTTTGTTCTTCTTGTAAAAACAAAGTCGTAGAGTATAATAGTGGTGAAGATGATGATGACGAAGAATTAGGGCCTTGAAGTTAAAATTTTGTTATGAAAAGAATTATTAAAAAAAGCACTACTATAACCGAAATGATTGTTAATGATGACGGCGAAACTTTTATCATTGACCGTAAATATAGCGTTGAAAACAATTCCGAATTAATTAAGGATAAATTGGAAGTCATAGGAGAATTAGGAAATTGAAAAAAACTAAACCAAATTTACCGGCAAGAAATAGCCAAAGAAGCCGAAGAATACAAAAAGAAAAATCCTTTTCCACAAACTAAAACAGAAGAAAAAGAACTGCCGGAAACTAATAATCAAAAAAAAGAATAAAAAGTGCCAGAAATATCAACACAAACAGAAACAAAACTTGCTCCAAAAGACTTTCCTGAAAAAACCTTAGGACGTCGTTTTCCTGATTTTGAAAGTTTTTATAAAGAATTAAAGCCTAACTTAGGGTTTGTTGTCCTCAAAATTTTCAAAAGAGTAGAAGAAGATGAGGATGGAAAAAAGGTTAGAATAACTGATTGAGTAGAAACATACAAAAGAGGGTTGGACTACCATTCTGAAACTTTTGGATTAGGAATTTTAACGAGGTTTATCGCTAGAATTTTTTATTTTAAATTCCGAAACCGAGAATATGTGGGAGAACAAAGAGATTTTATTGATGAGTTTATGGCCGAATTAGCCGCTATAATTGCTGAAATCAGAAGAAAAGAGCATGTATGAAGTCAACTCTGTTTAAATTTAGAAAAATGGACTAAATCAGATACAACTACAACTCAAAAAACTACTGGCAGCGATAAAGGTGGTAAAACTACTAGTGGGGATGCTTCAAAATATCAGGTCATGTCTAAGGAATTAACCCAAAAGACTGACCAATATGGAAAGGTTTCAACTTTCGACCAAAAATCAGATACGACCATTACTACTCACAAAGGAGTTAATTATGCTCCATTAGGTAGAATACTTAGTGCTTTAAGTAATCTGCAAATTGATTTTTCCTCTTTTTACCCTCGATTTGAACATTTTTGAAATCATCATTCCGCCCCAACTTTGGAATGGGTAATTGATAAAACTACTGGGCGAAGAAAGTGGGTAACAGAAGAAGAATACGAAGAATTGATGGAACCAGAAAAAAAGGAGGAAAGAAAAAAGAAAAAAAGGGGAGCAGATGCTCATGATATTTTGAAAGAGTATTTTGATACTGGGAATTGGGCTAAATATTTAGAAGCCTTAAAAATGTATCACGAGCAAAACGAAGAAGAATATAGTAAATTACCGGACACTTCCAACCGAAAACCTCGCGTTGCTATTCGAACTAAAAATGGCGAAAATTTGCTTAAAGCCTATCAAAAAGAAATTAAAAGACAAGGAGAATTCAAACTAATTACCAAAGAAGAATTTTTAGCCCGAATTAGAGGAGAAAGAGAGGGATTTTCAAAAGTGGTTGGCTATGAAAAAATTTTGAAATTAGTAGCCGACTATTTGGCTAGTTGACACTTTTGACAAAAATGAGGTGGGGAGAAACCTGAACAATTAATGATTGGTTTGCTAGGAGACCCAGGATTGGGAAAAACTTATATTTGTCAAGCAATCGGTAAAGCCTTAGGAACTGGATATTATCGAATTTCTTTAAATGGTAAAAATTCTTCTTCAATTATTTACGGAAGTTCTATTGAAAATCCGGGGGCTGAAATGGGAGGGATTGTTAAAGCGATTAGTGAAAATAAAAGCCAATTTACAGTAACGTTTTTTGACGAAATAGAAAAGGCAGGAAAAGAAGCCAAAGATGCGATTGGTGAACCAACTGACCGGACTGGAAATGCTGAATTTAAGGATGCTTTATATGATTTCATAACTCCTTGTAATAACTTATTATTCTTTTGTGCCTTAAACTATGCCGAAGAATTACCAGATTTTATCCGCGACCGATTCACTATGATTGAAGTAGAACCTCCTTCTTACCAACAAAGGATAGAAATATTACAGGCTTTATTAATGAGTTCAATGAAAAAATTTGAGGAACCCTTTCAAGGGATTTATCATAAAACCTGGCAAGAAATTTATAATATTTTCAATAAAGAAGAATTATTAAAAAAGGCCTTAACTAAAACCATGAGTATTCGAGGTGCCAAAAGTAATATTGCTATTTTGATTAACAGAATGCGAGTTGATTTCTTAATTGAGGAAAAAAATCTTCCTACTGATGTAGTTAACTACAATTGAGGATTTGAACCAAAAGAAGAAGATGATATTGGGGATAAAAGAAGAGGTCGTCCCGCTTGTCCTTTTGGTAAAGAAAGATCAGAAAAAAAGAGTTCCAGTTTGGAACACCGAAAAGGCTGTAAGTGTTTTTTAGGAAATTTGGATAGAGTTGAGGGATGGGCAGAGAATATGGGAACTGACTAACTTTTATAAAATTAACAATATAAATAAAAATATGACAGAATTTAATTGTTTTTTGTGCAACACCGACGAATTAAGTCCATGTATTACTTCTTGATGTGATAATAATAATGATAAAGGTTGTAAATATAAAATAACATCTTGTTATAAATGTTCTAAACATATTAATAATAATATGAACGACCACAGAAATTATTCATGCGAATATAATAATAAGACTAAAAAAAAGTTAGAAAGCAAAGTTTTAACAAAAGAAAAAACAATAGAGAAATCAGAGAAAGAGTTAGAAAAATTAATTGAAGAATACCAAGGGGAGAAAACAAGTTATTTAGGATTACAACAAGAGAATAAGGAATTAAAGGATAGGATAAGAGAATTAGAAGCAAGGGTAAAGGAGTTAGAAGAACAATTAGAAACTTCACAATTAACGGCTCAAATTGAAATTAATCCTTATCAAAAATAAACTTTTAATTTCATCTCTACCATAATTTTTATTCCAAACGACTTAATTTTGTCCTAATTCTAGCCATTTCACTTTTTAAACTGGCTATTCTTCACAAATTATAAAGCAGATACAGTGCAGAAGAGAAAAACATAAAAGCAATAAATAAACCATTCCATTTAACAATCGACCAAAAATTAGCAATCAGTAAACCTCGAGCCGCTGCTTGCTTGAATTGGTCCCAAAGATAATAAACCATTCCCGCCGTAATAGCAGGCTCAACGACTAATAAGTTTAAGGCCACTCAAAATATCCTTGAATGGCAAGAAGCCAATTTACTTTCTAATTCGCTTAATTCTTCTAAATATCTTTTTTGGTCTCGTTTTTTTAAAATTTTTTCGATTTCCTGGTTCATATTTTTTATAACTTTTTAGTTTTTCTCCTTCTAATTAAGGAAATAACTATCCCTACTACGGCTATTATTCCTATTCCACCAACTATTCAAGGTCAAATTGGCTTATCAGGCTTTTGTTCGGTTTGAGTTTTAAGTTTACTAATTTCTTGCTCTAATTGTTGTTTGTTTATCTTGTTTTTTCCTATTTTCTTTAAATATTCTTTGAATTTCTTCCACATGGTTTTTTGTTCTGGTTCCATTAGAGTGGAAGTTTCTGATAATTCTTCATCAGTAATAGTTTGAGGAGGAGGAGGAGGACTATTTGGATTAGTTTGACTTTGGTTAAAGGTAATTATTAAGTTTCCGTTTTGGTTAGTGATGGAATGGATGTTATTGGCAGTGAAGTATTGTTGGAGTTGAGTTAAGGAGAATAGAAGAGTTTGTAATTGTTGGTTGTTAGAAGAATTACCATTTGGTTGAGAATTACAAACATGGGGTTTAAGTTCATAAAATCCTATTCCGCCTGATTCTTTTTTCACCTCTGCTTGGCAGTTAGGACAAAAACTAACCACAATAAACGGTTCATTAGGAATATTACTTCCATGTCAGCATTCACAGTTAGAGCGGGATTTTAGAATATATTTTTCAGGCTCTTTTTGAACTATTTCTTTGGCTTCTTGGTATTCTTGTTCGCACTTGGAGCAGTTATTTAACAATTGAAGAGAACTATTTTTAGAATTTCAACTATCTTGACAAGATTTACTACAAAAGCCATCTCCTAAGTATTTATAGGCTCTTTCATTACATTCTTTACAATTAAAGCCATTTTCCTTGTCAAATTCTTTTTGGTCTTTTTCGTATTTATTGCGACAAGTTTCGCATTTTTTTCGGTGATTTTCTAATTCACTAAGAATGTCGTGTCTTTGACATGAATATTCATGCATCCCTTTCTCACGAACGCAATGCTTTTGGTTAGACGAATCAAAACAACTTCCCGCTCCACAAATTCAACACCTAAAAATCTTTCCGAAACATTCATCGCAAAAATATCAACCCCTTCCTTCTACTTTTTCACTTTTATTTTTGCTAAAAATATCGTTATCTGCGATAAGGGAAGGTTTAACAAAAGCACCATTTTTACCTTTTAATTTACAATTACAACATTTTTGCTCTCTCTCTCTCTCTCTCTCTCTCTCTCTCTCTCTCTCTCTCTCTCTCTTCATACTTACTATTATCATTATCTTTTGCTTTTATATTAATATAACAATTATTACATCACAACTTATTCTCGAAATTATAAACTGTTTCCTTACCGCTAATTATTTTTTGACATTTATTACATTGATTATTATTTTTTTTCTCATTCATAATATTAATTAAAAATTCATTGAACTTAAAATATTTTCTAAACCTTCTTTTTTTAAATCAAATTCCCAAACCTTATCACCTTCCCAAACTTTTACTATTTGAGTTTTTGCATCAGTCATATACTTTCCTTTCACACCTCCTTCAACATTGTAACTATGTGTGCCACCCGCTTCCCTTTCAAGTTCTTTGATTGACCTCGCACCAATTTTACAATTATAAAAAGCACTTAAAACATCTTCAAACTTATTTGAACAACTATTACATAAATTTTCCGCAAAATACTTATCTGGTAACTTTATTTCTAAGTCTTTTTCAATCGATGGTCTATTTAGGTCTCGGGGGTTTCAATGAGGACAATTTGTCTCTCCGCAACTTTTTATTTCTTCAATAGGTTTTGAACACCTTCGGCATTTATTTTCTTGCGTCATATTTTTATAAAATTATTGATTTTAACTATTTCTTATATTTAATTCATTTCCTATTTGTTTCTTATTAAACACTATCAATTCATAGTCGGTGGTTAATTTTTCCAAGTAGAATATTAAACGAGAAATAGAAAAATCATTTATCTTGCCTCGACAAATGTCATATAACTCCTCTTCGGAAATGGCTAACTTTTCGGCTACTTGCCCCAAAGACAATTTATTTTTTAGTTGGTAGGTCAAAATTGATTTACAGAGTTTATATTTAGTCCTTTCTTCCAAAGTAGGATTTTCGGGCAAACCAATATTCCCTCCTTCATAATTATCGCTATCTAAACGAGCAATTATTTCTTCTTCGGTTAAGTTTTTGAAATCTTTATTTTTTTTCATGGTCATTTTTATATTTTTTTTTGGTTCGGTGGCAAGTTTTAATCCATAAGTGGTTATCATTATCTTTTAAATATCAAATTAGTTTATAACTTTTTCCATCATCATCTCAGGCTGGTTCTAATTTAAAAAACTCTTTATCATCCTTGTGGCCTTCGGGAATGAATGGACCTTCGATTTCTAACTTTTTCACTAGTTTTAGAATTAACTCAATAGTAATTCCTTCGCGTCCTGGTTTTTTTCAAACATGGTCGCTAACTTGCAAACCAATCAACTCTCGCTCGTTAATCAACCAATTACCAGTGTAAAAGGAAAAAGTTTCTTTTTCTTTGGAGATATCCTTCATCTTCAACTTATATTTATAATTTTATACAACTTTATACAACATGGACACCATTCTTGCCAATATTAGGCTGTAAAATTATTTAATAATGGTTAGTCGAAGTGCTTATTTTAAAGAATACAACCAAAGACCAAAAAGAAAAAAATATTTAGGTCAAAAGGCTAAAGAAAGAAATCGTTTGGTAAAAAAAGAAAATTTAGGAATAGTTAATTTTTCTTGTCCCAATTGTTCAACTACTTGCGGGGTTCAATTAACTACAAAGATTTTAAAAAACAACTAAGTCATGAGGCATTTTATTCGTTGGATCTTCATTGAAGAAATAGGAAAATTTATTCGCAATAATGAAAACAATGAAAATTGACCAACTGGTAGCACTTTTGCAAAAATGGTTTTCAAAGAATGACAAGTCCAAATCGACAACCAACAAAAGGAAATTAATCTTTTAGAGGCTAAAAATAACGAAACTCGCCGATTAATGGCTGAGGTTCAAAAATGATTTATTGAAGAACATAATCTCCTCAGTAAACCAGCCAAAAGAACCTGATTAGAAAAAAACGCCAGACTAAAAAGGTTAGAAAAAGAATTAAAAATTCATCAACATAATTTAGACCATCCTAAACAAGAATTAGAAGAATATGAAAAACAATGCTTATTAAAAAAAATTGAGATTGGTGAAAGAAAAATTGGTAGTTGTAAAGATGAATTAAAAGAAGCCGAAGAGGCTTATGAAAAAGAAAAAAGAGAACTTTGCCAGCGTTTGGTTTACAACAAAGAAGATATACCAGAGCCTTTTTTAAGAAATCCTGAAGAACGAATTGACCCCCTTACGAGAAAATTAGTAATTAATCACGAAGATTATTCGAAATGATGAAGAATAGGTCATGACATTGATGAAGAAAGCAAATCCTTGGAAGAATTAAGAAAGCGTATAGACAAATGATACGAACATAACGAAGGAAAAGGACCTGAGTATAACCCTTATGAAATTTGAGTAGAAGAGAAAACGGATGATAGCATTACTTTTTTGTGAAAGCCCGTAGAAACAGAGCAAGAAGATAAAGAAGGCAAAAAAGTTAAAGGAGTTTACCTTCCCTACCTAAAAAATTATCTCTTCAACTATTACGGAGAGTGGTATGAAGTTGCTGATTATTATCAGATAAATTATAAAACAATTGTTATTAATGCTTCCAAATCAATCTTTTATAATTACTATCACTTACTTTTAATAAGTTCAGTTTGCGGAATTTTTCACCACTCTCAAACTACTTTGGTGACTCGAGAAGAAATTTGCTCTTGTCCCAACTACGAATTTGCTAATCGCTTTCGGGAATTCGGCTCAACCTACAAATTAAAATTAGCCCTTTACAAAATGGATGGAAAATTGCTAGATACAGGCGGAATTGTTAAAGATGAAGATTTGAAAATGATAGCCACTCCAGATGTAAAACTTGTTGAAGATCCAAAAGAAGATACTAAAGGATTATGAGAAGGGCTTAGTCCATATAATATGGCCGGAGTGATTAAAGAGGGGTGAGATTCTCTAAAAGATGCCCTTGTAGGAACGATTTACTTTTTATTGAGTGAGCGTTTAAAAGGCTGGGCTTATAACGAAACTGCATTTCGAATTGGAAGTGGTGAGAGTGAAGGAGGAGTGGAAAAAATTCAATGAAAGGAAATCGAAAAAAGTGGCGGAAAAGGTTTTTTTCCAACTGGACCAGATATTAATAAATGACTGGAGGGTTATGACCTTCTTGATCCTGATAATGAACATTTTCTTGAATATCACCCCAAAGCAACTTTATACTGAAGAAAAAAACAAATTTGACAAGGCCGTTACTACTTAATTCATAAAGATTTTGTCATAAAAGAATTTGTTAACCCAGCGGGAACCACTATAAATATTTTCGGCAATGCTGGAATTCTAATAGGTCGAGTCACTGAATCAGTTACTGCCAAAATTGGAGGAAACAATTTTATTAACAAGTTTGTCGAATGTGTGGTTGATACTACTTTAAATGATGATAAAGGTCAAAACAATCGACAAACCGAAAGAAATGTGATAAGTGAAAGTTCGGTTAATGGCGGAGAAACTAAGAAAAAAGAAACGAAAACTAGACAAACAGTTAGTAGCAAAACAATAAATAATGATAATGGTCCTAATTTTGGCTCAACTTTTTTAAGGCCGCATACCTACGCCATTGACCATACTAAATGTGAATATACAATGTATCAATTTCAAAGTCGCTATCGAATTAGTGGGACTTACCCCTTGTCCCTCCGTGTCGAATTAAATGAGGCTTTGGTAAATCAATATAAAATGAGAAAAGCAATTAAAGGAAAAATGACTTATGACTACTTTAACTCCGTTAATTTCGGAGAACACTTAGAATTTGAAGGATTTTTAAAGGCATCGGTTATTTCAATGAATATGGAAAATTACTCTAATTGGTTTAGGGAAAAAATAGAAGCGGGGGTTAATCTTTGAAAAAAAGACTACTTACAATTCTACACAAAAAAATTACCGGACAAAAAAAGTCAAGGAAGTCGTGGTGGAACTTCTACTGGGACTTGAAAACAATTGCAAATCAGAACTAATAAGCAAACCACGGTCGTTCCTGACTGACAAGTCGGTAAAGATAATATGACGTGGGTTGAGATGCAAAGTTATTGTCGACCAGATGGTGGCGGAACTAATATCTTTCCTCAATTGATTACTGATCCAGCTAACTCAAGTGCCTTAAAAATGACTGTTCCTCCTCACTCAGCTGGCTCTAGTTCTTGTCCAATGAGTAGCGGAGGATTCTGCACAGGTGGTCATGTAGGCTCTTGAAGGTTTGATTGCGAAAAATCTTGAACTGGAAAAAAACACTATTTACCAAAGGGAGTGAGATATGAGTATAAAATTACTATTTTGGGAATGACGGATTCTTATGGAATGACTGCCGACGATGATAATTCAGGAGTTTTTGCTTTTCAAGACAGAAATAAAATTGGAATTCAGCAATTTGGGAATGTGATAATTGATCGGACTATTAATGAGCCGGAAGGAATGCCATCTAGTTCGACATTACCAGCCACTGGAATTACTCCTGCTACTGTTCCTGCTACTCCTTTCAACCCCAATCAATTTCCCCAATCTGGTAATCTAATGCCTAATCCAACTGGTTCAGGAGAACAAGAATTTCCTGTTCCTGAAATTGATATTGGCCCTGACCCTGACTGAGACCAAGGAATTGATCCTGACCTAGGCCAAGACCCAGAAGGAGATCCAACCCAAGACCCTGATAAACCAACTGAACCTGATTTGCCTCCTGACAACCCTTATGAACCAGAAAACGACTAACACTCATTCATGACAAAATTTAACCAACTCATAAAAGAAATAATTCAAAGACAAAAAAAATACGCCAAAGAAAAAGAAAGAAACCGACGTTCACTTAAAAAGGTTTTAAAATATCTCAACATTAATCGTGAGAAAAGGAGGGGAAAAAAGTCTGAAAAGTAATTTAAGAATAGAATGATCAAAGATTATTTATTTCTCCTCATAAAAAAACCTTATCTTTTTGTTTATTTTTTCTTGCCACTAATATTTATACATAAATTAAAAAAGTGAATAAAAAACTAAGGAGAAATTAAAGAAAAAGATAGTTTATTGTTTGATCATTCCGAACAGTCAAGTATTCTTATTTTCTAGTCCCTTTTTCCTCTTTCCAAATCAAAAATAAAAGGCATAAAAAGTTCAAGTGAATTACCCCATTAAGTAATTTTCACCCATCCATTTTTATAACACCCTTATCGGACACATTTAAAACATATATATGCCAAGAATGATAAAAATAATGGTTAAGAGAGGAGGAGAACTAGTCCCTCGCTGAGTGCCAGCAAAATTAACTAAATTGCCCAATGGTAGTAAAAAATTTGAAATCTTAGCGGAAAACAAACTAGGAAGTAAAAAATGACAAGGACTTTCTCACAAAAAATATCAAGAATGAGGGCAACAAGGAGGTCGGCCTGTCAAATGAAAAAATGAAGCGGAGAGAAAGAGATATGCACGACTTCAAAAAGCATTGGCGGAAGGTCGCGAATTAAGGTCTTATAAATACAAAAATAATTCCAACAATAACTTTTCAACAGGAACAGAAGATTTTTCTCAACAAGAAAAAATTCAACTAGAAAAAAAGTTAAAAGAAGAATTGAAAAATGAAGAAACAAAAGAGGAAGAAGAAGATGAGGAAGAATAAATCAAAATAATATTTACTCTCTTATTACTTTTTTCTTAATTTTCACTTAATTTTGATTGTCGGTGATAAATTTAAAAAACTAGGTTAAAATCTAAGAAAAGTCAATTACTTTCCCTTTCTCATTTCAATCGCCCTTTGCCTTTTATTTAAAAGGTCTTGGCAAGCCTTTTCCAGCAAAATTTCTAAATCAATTAAATTAAATCCTTGAAAATGTCTTTTGGCTTCTTTCAAAACAATATTTTTAACTTCTTTATTATTGGATTTTCACATGTCAATATAAAGAATAGCTCGTTCATTCTCGTTATCGTAATAAAATGGCTGGTAGGCTCCTAATTTGCTTAATTCTTGCTTTATTTCCTTAGGTACACTTTTTTTAGCCAAGTCATAAGTAAATATTTTCTTAGTAAATTCTTTGGTTTTTGCTTTTAACTCTTTTTGCTCTTGTTTTTGTCTTTCTTTTTCTAGTTTAGAAAGTTTAATTTCAGAGTAATTAATTGTTTCTTCTGGTTTCATTATTATTGCCTGCTTATTTCATCCAATTTTTCTGCCACCTCTTTAATAATTGGTTTTATTGCCTCCTTAGTCTTGTCCTCTAATAGTTCTAATTGGCTGGCATCTATCAAGTCTGCTAACAAAATATTTAAAGTCCTTATTTTATTTGCTTTTTTTCTTACTTTTTCTAACATTTCTTGCGTATTATTCATATTATAATTTTTGGTTATTTAATTTGCTCTAAAAATCAGTCTCTAGCTCGAAAATCAGAAAAAAATAATTCATTTTCTTTAAGCATATTAACTAACATATTAAATTCCTTGTCCTTATCTCTTATTAAGCAGTTTTTTAATTTACTTTTGGCTTTTTCTTGTAAATTAAAGCAATAATTCACTACTTCTTGGTCCACTTCTTTTTTATTCTTACTAAAATGCATAAAAAAATATTTCTTGTTCTTTTCTCTTTCTCCTAATTCACAAAAAAAGAAATCTTGAATAGCATACTCAATTTGGTATCTCTTAATTCCTCCATTCTTAGTATAAAGAGAAATCATAAAATCATCTCAATTGACTTGAAAAGGATTTACTTTTTCCTGTAGGGAGCGAGAATGAGGGTCATCTTCTCCTTCAATTAAATTGATATATATTACATTTTACGAAATTAATTTCCGCTTTTAATATATTTTGTAAAGTAATCAAAACAACTTCGGAAATATTT